ATGGAGAAAGCCAGTCTTACAAACTGAACAATGTTCAGATTTACTTCAAATCCCACACACACACACACACACACACACACACACACAAATTATTGCACATTTAGAATCAATTAGATCCCACAAAACTGAATTATGCACTCAGTTACCAAATTAGTTCCTCTAGTTTTACAAAAAAAAAAAAAAATTAAATCAACAATATGTAATAACTAGTATAAATAAATCACTTCTAAGAAGTCTGAGACAAAGAATACTCAAAATACTTCTAGCCTAAACTGTAGGTCTAAAGCTTCCCCAACATAAATTCTGCATCTATTCAATGCCTACTGAAAACCTAACATAAGGTCAAGATAAGAATATGGATAATGGCATGGTAAAAATACTAACCATTTAACTAAGACTCATTGTATTTATCCATTTACAAAGTGTTTTCAGAAAAATCAATAAGACAAAGTCCTTTACTGTTATCCGTGGTTCCACGATAAAATGAAAGTAAAGACAAAGAATATGAGCAACTATATTTTAATTATTCTTCTGGTGAGTGTGATTAATGTAAATCATCCCTGTATCAATACCATTAGTGTAAGCACTTAAGTAAGAAGAAACCACAAGTAATGTATACCAATCTCACACAATTTAACAAAAGCGGGTATTTTGTAACAAGTCTGAAATTTCACATAATTCAAGTTTAAAGTCTAAATATTAACAAAATTTAGTTTTTTCACCAACATCATTATAGTATAAGAAACATGGATAGGACACTTGTATTTGAACACTCTTGCACATGTTAGTTTTCTTCTGTATTTATATGGAATACACGGAGTGGAACCTCATAAAATGAAAAACAAAATGCTATCAAGAAAAAAAAAATACAGAAAAACACCTTCATGTTTGGTTTAAAGAAAAAAAATTGGATTTCACAACCCTGCATATACAACTTACTAACTCATTTACTTCACTTTTTTACTACTTATATATTTGAAATTGATGAAATTCTTATACTTACCATAGCCACAAACCTGTAATTCTGCACAATTTGACGAATTCTGTTAAACTCATCCTCCAGGTTATATGCCCACACTTCTCGAATTCCACAGGCTTCATTTGAAAGTGAAGCATTACGACTTCTTTCATTATTGAAATCAACATGGCTTGAAGGTGCTGGCATTATAATACATGCACATGTATTTCAAAAAACTATACACACACACACTTATTCCTGCTTTTTTGTCCTGAGCAGGGTATACAATTTAAAGTTTTCTGCCCCCTTGAAATACAGTTTATAAACTTTGGCTGAAAAGCCTAGCACACTAAACATTGATTTCCTTGCTGACTTGCAGTATTTTCAATTGTTAAAGAAAAAACAAAACAAAACAAAAAAAAAACAGTAAATTGTTTCTTTGTCCAGTTCTTCCTGAAAGCAGAAACAAACAAACAAAAAATAATTATCAAAACTCTGAATGAAGGAAATATAAAAATATTTTATTTTTATAATCATAAGCATGGTTTGCATGGCATCCACCAATTTTGTTATTTTGCAAACTATTTTAATATTTAGAGTTGAAATAAACCATGTTTTCTTTGTGAAAAAAATAAAAAAATTAAAAGGACAAAGTCCACAAACAAACAAACAAAAGAGGTCATACTTGACTAAATATTATTACAAAATATGAAAATATCTATACGGAGTGACGAAAACATTTTTTTTTTCAATTTAAGATTATAATAGTGGAGATGCAATAACAGACTTTACACTCAAGTAATCAAATTTTAATACCAAATATCAATGCTTAAAGTGACACAGCAATTTTTTTAGAATGCTGTCAAAGAACTTACAAATTAACTGATTCATGATTAGAAGTAGTTTGAATGGTGTGGCTGATTAAAAAGTCAACATCTAACAATCAAAATTTGAAAAATAAAGTGTATACATCAAGACAACTTTATTAAGTTTTATTCGTAGTGATATTTCATTAAAATATAAATCTGTATTTTATAACAGAACTTTAGGAAACATGACAAAATGAGTTTATACTTGGTAATAATTCCCAACCCGGTAAAACAAGTGGCAAAAACATACTTCCATTCCAGACCATGTGCTGCACAAATGATGCTACGAGATTTCTAATTGTTTAGTTATGAAAGGTGTAGTGTAGTTGCTATCCGCAATCCTTAAAATAAATTTATCATAAAACAGTAGTTAAAACAACCAGAAAGTAGCTGCTATTCTTTCTGCTTCAGTCTGGAAGTATGAGACAAAGGGCACAAATAGAAAGGTATTTATTGACAGTGGCAGTAATACTAACATAAGAATACCTATTGTAATACTAATGAATAAAAACTCTATTACCTGAAAGCTTTCGAAAGGTCCAAGATAATGTGTTTTATGCAAATGTAAAAAACTTTGAGCTTTATTTTACCACCAAACTTACTTCTGTCTCAATAAGCTAAAAGTTTTGTTATCACCTTGAGCTGATATCATGTTCTTTTTTTAAAAAATACAACCAAAATAGGAAAACATGCTTATTATCCTAAAATCACATAATAAAGTATAAACAAAAAAATACATTATACCAAAAGTACTTTAATATATCTCATTCAAAATTCCAAGCACAGTTTTTAAGTTAACTAAGCTTGTCTAACTGTTAACAATTGAAATTTGAAAGTTCTGATCCTAGATTCCTACCGAGTACTGTAAAATCTTTCCAATGAAGTTCAAAGCTTAAGCTTAGTAGTATACTTTTTTGTTCAGTTTTGTATCCTACTGCTTATATAGTTAGGCCAAGTTAAAGTTTAATAAAGTTTAAGTTAAATAATGAAGCTTGTCCAACTGTTAACAATTGAAATTTGAAAGTTCTGATCCTAGATTCCTACAGAGTACTGTAAAATCTTTCCAATGAAGTTCAAAGCTTAAGCTTAGTAGTATACTTTTTTGTTCAGTTTTGTATCCTACTGCTTATATAGTTAGACCAAGGAAATATTCAAAAAGTTCACAATTGGTTTAAAAAACCTGCTTAACTAATTAGTGTGGTATTACAAATTTCAATTAAGTTATTTTAATTATTAAATTGGAATGTGATGTTAAAAATAAAGCAACTTTCAGCCTTTAATTTTTCAAAGTCATAAAAACTTTCAGTGATTAAGTTTCTAAAAAGAATAAGTTTAAGGAAAAACATCAAAAGAATGCGATCGAAGTCCTAGAAGTTCACTAGAACTATTCCAATCCTTCTTTATGATTTATCACAGATTTCATACTATTATCTTTATAGTATTACTATTAGGCCTACCTCAACGAAAAGTTATGCTTTGTATTCAAGATTCAGATCAATAACACTATTCTTTAGCTAAACGTGCGTACTTTTTAATATTATGGAATATTTTTAACTGTAACTTACAGATTAAGAATTTCCAATAAAGAAATAACAAATATAATCAATGTTTAACAACTTTCAAAGCCATAACTGATGTTAACACTAACACCATACTCTTCTATAGTATATTATAACTTTACGTTTGACTCTATAATTTGTAAAGTGTAAGTGTAAAATAATTAAATACTAATAATAAAACGTTTGAGAAAAATACTTATTATTCTATTGCAGCGTACACACCAAAGTTTAACGCTCACCAATCCTAATATTTTTATGAATTTCTTACAATCCTTTTACTCATTTAAGAAGTAAAACAGAACAAACAATCGCAAAATTAAAAATGGGTAAATAAACCTTCGATAACATATTCTAGAAACTAATTTATAACTTACACTTACAGATTAAGAATTTTAAATGAAAGAATAACAAATATAATCAATGCTTAGCAGCTTCAAAAACAAATAACGGAGGTTAACAGGAACATCATAAGTTTATATTTGGCTCTGTAAGTGTAAAATACTAATAATAAAACGTTTAAGAAAAATACTATTCTATTGCATCGTCCATACCAAAATTTAACACCCACCAATCCCAAATTTTCTTATGAATTTATTCTAATTATTTTCCTCATTTAAGAAGTAAAAAAATAAAACTTACATAAAAATTAAAAAGTGAATAAATAAACCTTCAATAACATATTCCACAAACTAGTTTATTAAGAATTAAATTTACATAATAGTCTGATTGATGCTGACTTGCAGAAATTTAAAAAAATAATAAAATGTTGCGTCAGCGAGGTCACGTGACTAGTATCACGTCACGTCCTTCTCGAACCTTCGTGAATTATCGGGAGACTACTAGATTGGGGTAGTGTGGTATATATAAGATGGTCACAACGTGACGGAATAATGAGTAATTGAACAGCAGTCAGAGAGTATGTAATTGAACGGAGTATTGTTGAAGTCGAGCTCGTGAGCCACTTCTAATACTAGTATTCCAATATTTCAGGCTCTGCGAAAGACACATTAGACTTGGAGTCTTGAAAAAAGCGCCCAGAGTAACAATGAAAATGACATTTATCTTAGAATTTTAAATTTTCAAGACATTCGGATTTAAACTTTTTCTCTTTGAAACGTAAAAATAAGTAAATTGAAATTAGTTTTCAGTGTTAAATCATTACAGACTTAAATAGGTTGCTAACGAAGAATATTTGACTTTATTTTAGTTCTAAGTGATGTAGTTGACCTTATATCAAATACTAGAGGATTCAAAATGTGGCATAATTCCCAACTATTCATCTTTTTTCCCACAGCAAAAATCTACTTCGGCCAGAGACAATGATTTAGTTAAGTGGGTAGGATTTTATTTATAGATATAGACAAATATCGACGAAGTCTGTTGTAGCATTAAGTTACTTCGATTTCCAACTAGTAGTTACAAGTAATCAGCAATAAGCAGCAGCAGTCTTAGGAAATGCTAAACAAAGAATAAATCGAATACCGACAACAAAGAAACAGAAGAGAATATAAGAAACAAGATCTTTATTAAAAGTGATGTCTTTTAATGACGACTTCACTCTTCTGTTATTATTAACTTCTAGATATTGGAAGAAGTTTTGTTTGTTTGTTTTGAATTTCGCGCAAAGCTACACGAG